TTCTTTCTTTCTTTCTTTCTTTCTTTCTTTTGAGGCAGGGTCTCACCTTATAGACCAGGCTAGCCTCAAATCCAAAGTCTTCCAGCCTCAGCCTCTTTAGGGCTAGCTAGGATTCTAGAAGTCACCATGCCCTTAATAGTTTTCAAACACACAGTTGTGTTGCTCTTAGTACATTCACCATGAGCTATCTCCAGAACTCTCACCTTTCCAAACTGAAACTCCAGACCCACGACAGTAATTCTCCATCGCCCCCACCCCCCACCCCATCCCCCGACCCATGACAGTAATTCTCCACCCCCCTATCCCCCCCCCACCCCGCCCCTTTGGGCAACTCCCATTCTACTCTCTGTCTCTATATTTGACTCCTCTGGGCCCTTCTCCAAGGCCTTCATTTCATTCAGTGTGACTTCCTCCGGGTTCATCCATGTGGTGGCATGTGGCAGTATGCCCTCTTCTAAGGCTGAAGACACTTCCACTTTACCTATTCACACACCACATTTTTGTTTATCATTCACCTGCCCACAGCCGGACACTGTGTTACTTCCACTTTCTTGCTGTTTTAAATAATGTTGCTATGAATGTGCTGTGAAAATTCCCCTTGTCTTTATTTTACTTATTTAGTTTTTGTTTTTCGAGACAGGGTTTCTCTGTGTAGTCCTGACTGTCCTGGACCAGGCTGGCTTCAAACTCAGAGATCCACCTGCCTGAGTGCTGGGATTAAAGGTATGTGCCACCACCGCCTGGTCCCATTGTCTTTTTATTTTATTATTATTATTATTATTATTATTATTATTATTATTATTATTTTCGAGAGAGGGTTTCTCTGTGTAGCTTTGTGCCTTCCCTGGAACTTGCTTTGTAGACCAGGCTATCCTTGAACTCACAGAGATCCACCTGGCTCTGCCTCCCAGTGCTGGGATTAAAGGCGTGTGCCACCCCCGCCCGGCTCGTTGTCTTTTTAAAAAGTATTCCTTCATTTGTTTATTTAGTGTGTGCATGTTCATGAATGCAGAGGTGCGTGCCGCACAGTGGGGGCCAGAGAACACTGTGTGAGTCAGCTCTTTCCTGCCAGGTGGGTCCTGGGGATTGAACTCAGGTCATCCGGTATGACATATGCCTTTACCTGCTGGGTCCCTTTGTCGGCTCACATTCCTATTTTTATTTTCTCTTTCTCTCTGCTCTCTGGCCACCATAAAGCGAGCATCTCAACTCTTCCTCATGCTCCCTACCACAGTGCTCTGCCTCCCCATTGCCCAGGAAGGACAGCCAAGCCAAGTGGCCACCGACTGACAACTCTGAAATCTTGACCCAAACCACAATCTTCTCAGAGAGCAAGGGCCTTATGGGAGATCCTTAGGTCACCTGGAGACCATCCTTGAAAGACGTTGTGGGACTACATTCCTTCCTCTCAGCTTCTCAGCTAGAAATGTCCCCTTCCACGAACGTGCCAGCCGCTGCAGAAGGCGTGAGTATTCAATATTGCAGAACTATGCATTTGAAACTGGTCAAAGGCCGGGTAACCTGGCTTTCAGTTCTTTGGGAACATACTCAAAAGTGGAATTGTGGGAGCAGAGGGCCACTCTGTGAAAGTTACAGAAGGACTTCCTGCCATCTTGTTTGTTTGTTTTCGAGACAGGGTTTCTCTGTGTAGCTTTGGAGCCTGTCCTGGAACTCACTCTCTAGCCCAGGCTGGCCTCGAATTCTCAGAGATCCTCCTGGTTCTGCATCCCCAGTGCTGGGATCAAAGGTGTGCGCCACCACCACTCAGTTAAGAACTGCCATCTTATTAACTGTCCTTGGGGTGGAGTTTCTAGAGGCCTTTGATGGAATGCGCCACTCACTGATCTCTGTGCTTATCCAGGTAGTAGCACAGAACACCATCTGGCTGTCTCCTGCACTCCACAAAATCCTGTTAGTGACTAAGAACCATCACCTTAGATCTCTTCATGTCTGTCCCCTCAACTAGCAAGTCATTTACTCTAGCAGGGTGGTTTTGTTTTAACAAGCAGGAAGTGTTGGGTGGGGTGGGATACTGGGCAGCCAGCCAGCTAGGGTCACCCACAAGCAAAGGCTCTTTCTTGTTCCCCTGGGCAAGGTTCACAACCCACAGCATTAGAGTTCTGGTTCGGCAAAGCCACAAATTGGATCTTATCAGGAGTTCACAGAATCTTCCAGACTGTGAATGAATGCTGACCGTGAATACTGAGGGTCTGCTGGCTCTGGAACAATTTCTCTCAGTGCTTTTGTGCCTCAGTTTCTTTAACAGATCCCCACTGAGACAGGGTTTCTCTGTGTAGTCCTGGCTGCCCTGGAACTTATTCTGTAGACCAGGCTGGCCTGAACTCATAGAGATCTGCCCGTCTCTGTCTCTTGGGTGCTGGGATTAAAGGCATGTACCACCACAATGCTTCGAAGTAATTTTTAAATGTCCTGCCACACTGCTGACAAACCAAGGCTGGATGTGACCAATGTTTTAGCAGTGGTGGTTGTAGACATCCGTATCAGTCAGCGTCATATTGTCACAACAAAACTCCTGAGGTAATCATTTATTTCTGTATTATTTTATGTGTATAGGTCTGCATACAATATACATGCCTGGTGCCCACAGAGGCCAGAAGAAAGCACTGGATGCCCTAGAACCAGAGTTACAGACAGGTGTGAGCTGCCATGTGGGTGCTGGGAACTGAACCCTGGTCCTCTGCAAGAGCAGCCAGTGCTCTTAACTAACGAGCCATCTCTCCAGTCCTGGTAATCAGACGTAGAAAAGAAAATACTTAGTTCAGTTTTAGATGGGGGTGGGGTGGGGGACATTGGTTTGTCTTCCTCTAGTGAGGGTGGCGTAGAACAGCGGTGGAGGAGACGGTCACATCGCAAGCCAGTAAGCAGGGTTCTACCGTCTGTCTCTTGATATGGGACAGAAGGACAGGGGGACACATTCACGTATTCTACGTTATAAAGACACACTTGTACTCCACACTGTACAGAGCCATTGGGACGTCTATGTTACTCCTGGCTTAGCACTGGCACTGGTTTGCTTGTTTTTAGTTGACCCCCTTTCTCCCTTGGGGGTAGAGAGGTGATGGGTGTACACACTGTTTTAGCAGAATGAGGCAGGGCTGTCGATTTCAGTTAACCCTTGACTAATCACCAGCAGAAAGAAGAGCAAAGTGTTGACCAGGGTAGAGAAGGCGAGTTTCACGGTAGCCTGAGAGCCACTGGCTGAGAGACCAAATAAGAGACGTGGGTCAGTGTGGAATCACGGGGTTACACAGATAACTTGTCAAGCATTGATTAAGGGTTTGTAAACAATAGGCACACAATGAAGTTTGGTTGTTACAGTTGCTATTTGGAGATGTGCTTCTCTGTGTCTTTGTAGATGGTGGCAAGGATACCTGGCACCTGTACTGTCAAAGAGACTCACAGAATTCCCAGTCCCACGATCAGCCTCACTCTACAAGGGACAGGGTGGCATATAGTCTGATCAATGCTAATTCACAATGAGAAGAGCTTGTGGCTGTGGGTTACGTAGAAAGCTACCAGCTAATGAAGGAGTTGGGTTTAGAAAGCCAGGTGCCTGTGTGTGTGGGGGTGCCCAGTGAATATGGCCCAGTGAGTGGTTAGGAACCCTGGCTGTTCTTCCAAAGGATCCGGGTTCAATCCAGCACTCACTGGCTCACACTGTAATGTCAGTCCCAAGGGATCTGACGCTCTCTTCTGACCTCCATGGACACTGCATGTGTGTGGTGTACAAATATATGTGCAGGCAAAACACCCATACACATAATGGTCTTCTTTGGTCTGGACCCTAGCCTCATTTCAGGGAAATCCCACCAGAGTGTGGAGTCAGATCAGCATGCAGGCTGGTCATACCGAACAATCCACTGCAGGAAGAATTGGGGTGGACAGCACACGAGCGCCTTCTAGTGGTGGAGAGAGGAAGCATCCTGCCACCTACTCTAAATGGCAAGAGAATTGTCTCTCCGGGCAGGGAGGCTGCAACCCAACACACCTTCATTCATGTTCAAAGGTAGATTTGGACACAGATGGGTCCCTGAGAAACTGTGTGTTTTGAGACAAGATTTCACTCTGTAGCCTAGGCTGGTCTGAAATTCACTGGATAACCTAGGTTGGTCTAAACCTTGTGGCAATCCTGCCTCAGCCCCCTCCCGAGGGCTGGGTCACAAGCATGAGTCACCAGGGAGTTTCATGGACTATTTTGTTTTTAATTATGTTTATATGTTTTGTCTGCATGTGGGTATGTGCACATGAGTCCAGGTGTCCACAGAGGCCAGAAGAGAATATTAGATCCTCTGGAGCTAGAGTGACGTGAGACACCCCATGTGGGTACTGGGAACCGAACTGGGATGCTCTGGACGAGCGTCTAACACTCTCAACCAGTATGCTCTCTCTCCAGTCCCCTGGGGGACTATTTTTAATGAGGGTGATATACATGGATGTAAAAATGTATCCATAAATGTTCAGGGGAGGACATGCAGAAGGAGACGTCTTGAGAACCAAGCTGGACTTGAACTCTTTGTAATCCTCTTGCTCTGTAGACCAGGCTGGCCTGAGACTCACAGAGATCCATCTGCCTCAGCCTCTGCCTCTTGAGTACTGGGATTAAAGGCAAG